CAAGACGATGGTTGCAGGTAGCCCAGGACCGTGATTTGTGGCGTTCCTTGGGACACCTTATGTTCAGCAGTGGACTGTAATGATTTATATTTGTATATCGAATATAGGAAGATTATGTCCTATGGGAACAGGAGGAACAAACCTGCTAGCCAAGCGTGGCAACTGAGGCAAACATCTTCCCTATAAAGCAATCTATGGGGAAGCACAGTAGTTGGGCAGTAGACTTTTGATAGGATGTAATGAATGAATGAATGAATGAATTTATTATGGATTTTAGAAGTATTTACTTTAACTTAGGTGGGTTTCACATGTTTTGCGAAACTAAAAAAACAGTTCTACGGTTAGTTTCTATTATTAAATCTTTCAAAGAACTCTCTTCAATATCTATACAAAGCTTCATGCATCTGAACCAATGTTCGAAACACTTTTTCCACACTGCCTCAGACACTTCTTCTATGACCTATTTGAACGCTGTAAGCGCATCTACCGGCGGTGGTGACAGTAGACTAGCCTAGCCAATGGATTGATTTTCTTAGTTACAGCCATCTTCTTTATATTATAAATTAGTTTGCAAACACAACATTTTAGGGCGTTTCCCTCTTCGCCTCTTAAGACACCCACGGGCTTAGATGGGGTGGTAGATGCAAACGCAATAAGTAGTTTTATTTACACCTTTTTTTGTTAATAATAACTGGTACCCGGCGCATTGCTGCCGCAGAGGAAATAATTTTTTAAATATCGTTTTAAATTTGGAAGAGTTATATAGTTTAATTAGGAATAATAATATTCATTTTAGTTGAAGGATATAATATAACTTTCAACTAAATTTGTCGGTGCGATACGTGCGCCACGTCCTGTAAGTTTATTGCAGTATGCCTATAACCTTCGCGGAAGTGCAAGACAAAGTTTTACCGCAATCTGATGAACGGTATGGCAGCGCATGAAATACGAACAAACAAAAATTAAGTTGTCTATATTAGATTAGGTTATTTATTTATTATTTATTTATTTAACAATTTATGTACACACAAAATAATGTTATAAAGAAGAGAAAAAAAAAGATATTTTGTACAAAGGCACTGCTTATTTCATATTGAAATTTCTTCCAGCAGGCCTGATACTGGACAAATTAAAAGAGAAGCTGATCTAGTCTGCACTCTCATTATACAATTTTATAATATTAATATACTTAACATAAAGTAAAGATAATAAAAACAAATATCCATGTAAACATACATATAACTAAATATCACTATAAATACATACACACACACACACATATATATATATATATATATATATTACATATATAAATATAATAATATATTATATATATAATCATTGGGACGACAAAGAAAGATAGTGCTCTTTGACTCGCCTTTTGAACACGGACACTGTTATATATTACTGTTATATTTATTTTATTAATGTAAAGTTACTCTCCCCATATTATCCAACAACAAATCAGAAGATAGGCAGCAACGTCTTCCTAATAATGACTAAAAATAAAAAACTGCGGTTTCCAACTCGCATGCCTAGCGGCAACTGTGGCAAACATCCCCCCGGCAACCATGGCAAACATCCCCCAGGCAACCGATGTTCAGCAGTGGACCGATAACGATAACGGTAATGTTACTAACTATTATATGGACCTTTTATTTTATTGAAGTTTTATTATATTATTATTTTTATTATTATTGCAGAAATCGAACAGCGTATACTGTTTGGACCGTAAATTTTCCTATTATTCCATTTTCCCTAGCCAAATCAGAATTTGGTAGCGAAGTTGTTCGCTCCCTGGAGTTCCTTTGGCAAACTATGTTTCAGAATATTTACTCATTTTAGCTGCATATGCTGACACACTCACGTTAATGGCTTTCTGATTTCTCCAGTCTAGAGTTTTAGTTTTGAAATAAAAAAGTAAGTTGATACTCACGTGCAAGTCGTTAACTAACACGTAGAGGTGAAGGTTAGTTAAGTTTCTTGTACTTATTATTTATTCTGTGGTTAAGTTAAAAATTACAGCCGTAAAAATGCAGAGCCTTGTGCCCAGCAGTGGGATGTTATTAACAGCAGTGGGATGTTATTAACATAATCCGTAGTTGAAGCCTATGTTGAGGAATGGATGGAATGGTTAACTTGACCACTTCATCATATATATCCAGGTCGATTTAAAAAGCAAGTAAACAGTAAATGCTCGTTCTAAACATCCCAATTTGGCCTCCAGCAGATTCGTATATGAATCGCTACAGATATGCTTATTTTAGTCACAGATACAAAATCCAAACTCGTTTATCTATAATTAGTGTAACCATTTAGGTTATCACATAATCAGGACTACTACGTTAATAATTTTATATAGAGAAAAGGTAATTATAAGTGTAAGTGTGGTGCGTAGACGCGTAGAATTCCTTTACATTGTAGCGGGGACAAGCGGGGAATAGACAAGACAGAGACATGCAGGAAAAGGCATATTATAATTTAAAATCCGTATCACGTCTCTCGATATTGCTATTGATATTGCTTTAGTGTAAATGCATCCTAAAACCCCCTAAAAACGCATCCTAAAACCAATAAGGCAAGGCGGGGCAGTGCCCCAAGCTTAAGGAGCCCGTCGGCCTTCATGAATGACGTTCGAAAAAGTTGTATAATATCCCAGTTGAATAAAGAATTTTCGCGACTCCGTTCGCCTGGTATGGACCAACACTGAAAATTACTAATTTATTAAAATTGAAAATTTATCACGGCATCCTTTTATCGGGATGAAAGTATCCTATGTCCTAACCAGGTTGAGTGTGCAAAATATCATCCAAATCTTTACAGTAGTTTTTACGTGAAGCGCAACAAATAAACAAACGTTCACATTTATAATATTTAATATGTTTACCCTAAAACGTCCTCATCTATGGTCCTCATCATTACAATTATAAATAGATATACGAAACGCGGCAACGTTTTTGCTATTGTTTGAATTATTTACATATTATTATTTTTTTCATCATCTACCCGTAATGAACTGTTGGACGGTTTTGAGGATTTGTCATAATGGCCTCGTTCGCTCAGCGAATTCGGTTTAAAAATCAAGATTTCAACGTTTTGTCGCACGAAATCGTATGTAACAATCATATTGTACATATAAATGATATAAAAAGCGCATTGTCAGAAAGTTGTTTGTTTTTTGTTTGTCAATTGCTATTTTTACATTAAAAAGTGGTTTTAGTGGCTTTTGGTGGGGATTTATCAAGTCCATACATCGATCACTAATTTTTATTAGTGATCGATGAGTCCATATCAAGAAATTTTCGGTGTTTTGAGCTGCCTTGTAATAATTTATTTTACTAAATAGACTTCGGGCTCAGCCGCCGACGTGAGTGGATACTGTGTCAGTTATTTGCAGCGCCTCTTGTTCAAAAAGATTACTGTACAAAAATACAAAATAATATTCGAAAAACCAAATTTGATATATACTTGATTATTACTATAATTGCAGATTTTTATAACAATATTTTAAAGGCACAGAGTAGATAATAGTACTACATACTATTAATAAGTAGAATTTATATATAATTATACTTAAATACGTCTTGGACTTTATGGAGTCATCTGAATGATGATATGATGATCATATTATGAGCATTATGAGTCGTGCACTTTTGGATTTTCCAAACATTTTTAATTGAAGTTGGACATAAATCAAATTTTTGTTAACATAAATTAAAATTATCGGAAAATTGGAAGTATAAAAATAAGGTTATTAGTGAAAACTTGTGTGTGTTTAAACTAATTTATAAAAATTACGTATTATCATGTTATAAGTAATTTTTAATGCGCTTAAGGCATGCAAAATTGGATTTACCAATAGTTTTATATTATATTATACAATTTAACATACATTTATTTGCTTAGCATTTTTACCTCTTACGACAACCAGGGGTTGAAATGGGGGTTGGATTCTCTTAAACCACCCTGTAATAGCGACATAGCCTGTAATAGCGTATAGACTAGATGTAAGATCTATTTATACTATAATAGAACTCTAAGACGATGTCTGTCTGAGCACGCATTACGCAAAAACCTGTGAACCGATATGGATGAGACTTTCACTGGCAGATAGCCCATGTTATAAAGAGTAACTTAGGCTGCTTTTATTTTAGGAAAAGAATTAGGGTTCCGCGCAAAAAAATTCTACGCAGGCGAAGTCGCGGGGAACGGCTAATACTATAATAAAACTCTAACACGAAGTCTGTCTGAACACGCATAATGCAAAAAACTGTGAACCGATTTGCATGGGATGTTCACTGGCAGATAGCTGATGTTGTTAGGTGTAACTTAGGCTACTTTTATTTTAGGAAAAGAATTAGGGTTCCGCGCAAAAAAATTACAATCCATGAAATCCTATCTCAAATTCCACGCGGGTGAAGTCGCGGGGAACAGCTAGTTTACTGATAAAATTCCAAGCTTTTCTTGATGTCTCTTAAGTTTTGTAAAAAAAAGATTTATCCGGACACTTGTATGTAGTTGGTAGCTCTATAATCTTCTCTACATGCGCACGCGCCGATGTAAACACAAAATCATGTGAATCATTTCAGTTCAGTCCGGCTTCGATCCAACCCGCGTGCAGACGTATATCATACATATCTGCAAACTAAAAATAAAACACGTAGATACGTTTTATTATAAGTATTATATTATATGTATTGGGAGATCGTGATACGCCATTAGTAGCGTTGTTTATTCAAAATAGCCTTGCACTTCACACGTTCAAGGATGTCGGCCCATGCCACAGTGATAGTTTTAGGCGGGAAATAAAATTTTCATAAATTTGCAAATTAGAAAAAATGATCAATTAGTGTATTTTGTGTAATTCGTTATCGATTTGTAAATAACTTATATAAAATATACAATTTAGTGTATGTAATTTCATTTTAATAGTGCCACAAAATCCATAAGAAATATTTAAATAATTTTTTTAACGACAAAAATAAGAAACATTGATTAATATGGCTTCTGTGTCACAAGACCCATCGACACCAGCAACAGAAACCCCAGAAAACACTCCGTCTCCATCCCCAGCACCTGAAGCAGTAAATAAATTCAATTGGCTTAAGCATGCGAGGAATGCTAGGAATAATCCATTTGTGAAGTCCCGGCCTTCTTTAAACAGGGAAAGCTCGACATCTGAATTGTTCTCCAGGGAAAATTCTAGCCAGGACTTTTTTCAAAACTCCAGATTGAACCTATTTGATACCGCCCCGAAGCCGGAAGTTTCGCAAGGTTATAAAAAGGTAAAATTACTTTATATTTTACGCCTTATATTTCTTTTATATTATATCTCGTTTGATTAGGATCTTCTATCGCAGTGACATTTTCGGAATACTATCGGAAGCTATCAATTCCGCAAGACATACATGAATGTAACAAGTGTCCGTAAGTTAAAACTGCAGTCTGTGAACACGTACAGGATCGCACCCGCCACTACTTCAGATTTAATAGACCACAAATCCTCACTAAAGAACAAAGATTCCTTCCAAGGATGATTCGCTAGGCTACTGAAATTAATAAATATCCTAATTTCAATAGAAAAGGTGGCTACCATCTGTTTGGAACCCTTTATTTAAATAAATTAAATTCCAAACCTAGCATACAACGTGGTACTTTTTTACGTGCTAGAGCCATGGCTCGTAAAAAAGTAGTTTAGTAGTATAGTTGTGGCACGAATTGGCCGGCTCCACACTCTCACACAAGCGTAAAATAGCAGCTTAATGATGCTGTGTTTCGTTTGGTTAGTGTAGAGAACTGGAGACCCTTTTTACTGGAAAAGAGGCATTCTATCTTAGTCCTCACGGATGACAACGCATCTGCATTTTGATTTGTCATAGAGGATAGATGTAGATGTCTTTGGGTTACAGCAACCATTTACCATCAAGTGGACTGTGTGTTCGTTTGTCACCCTATTCCTATAAAAATAAAACTAGGGGCTAGAAATCAAGATACTATAACCTCATTCTGCGTAGATCGAACCAAAAATTTAGAATTTTGAACTGAAGGTAGCCGTGGTTAATTATGACATCGGGACGTCGATCACCTGTCTCCCCTTGACCATGGGGCAATCCATAAAAACTAGTATCATTTAAAAAGTGTCCGTGTAAATATAGAATCACTCATTAGTTTAACATACATATATACATGAACATTCACGCCTGTCAACCAGAGGGGTAGGCAGAGACTACGGACTTCCATTTGGCACGATCCTGACACACCTCTCTCGCCTCCTCCGTATACCTACGCATACATGCTCGTCGGTTAAGGGTACTCTTCGGTCCATTTGCAATATATCTCCAATTTGGTCGATAAACTTTCGCCTAGGGCCCTAGGGCGTCCCTTTCCGACTCTGCCGTTCACTTCTGCAACATAAATTTGCTTTGTCACTTTAACTTAACAAAAACAAAATATAATAACAAATATTCAAGAAAATCAAATATGTAAAATGTGAGAATATTGAAAAAAGAAGCTTGTTAGTGTACTAATTGATAAAGCCATTATTATCGAAAGCGAAATCGCTAATCATGGGAACCCGGGTTCGAATACCGCTTTTTTTAGTCAAGAAATTCGCAGTTGCAGCCTGTGGTTGGGAATTAGGCGGTGTTTCACGCCCGCGCCTCGGAAAGAACGTAAAATCGTGGGACGTGCGCCTGATCTCCGGTCGTGTCGGATTACCGTCCCATCGGACTATGAGAGTTGAGAAATAGACAGTATACCTGTGCTTGTACACACAGGGACAATAATACTGTCCTGCGCAGATGGCTAGTCTCCGTGGAGACTGTCCGCCGTGACCGAAATTCATTTATTTAGTGATGATTTTTTTTGATATTCAGTTTCTTTAATACTCAGTAGTTTAATTCATAAATTTTCCATCAATCAACCATAATAGTGTTATTATCTCTATATAAATAATTAACTTTTTCTACATCTATACAAATAAATAAAGTTGAAAACCTAATTGAGACTGAGATTTCCTACCTTATTCCTTCCTTGAGAAATATATGTAATCACGTCGGAAGTCATTATATCATAAATATATCATTGAATAATGACTGCGAAATTTTTATCACAATAATAAACAATGACTATGCAATATTTTAAATATAAATAAATAGTGACTTTTATTGCTTTTTTAATTGACTTTTTAAATTTATTTATAAATGAACGTGGTAGAGTCATGCTGTAATTACGTATTAGGTAATGACCACCCTCTCACAGATTACCAACGTAACGTATCAACTTAATACTGCTGTGTTCCGTACGGTGGGTCCGAGAGAACCGGGGACCATTTTTACAAAAAACGGCTCACTTCATCTTAGTCCTTACGCATCTACATTTTGATTCTTAATCGAAGATAGATGTCTATGGGCCACAATATCCACTTACCATCAGTTGAACTGTGTGCTTGTTTGTCACCGTTATTCTATAAAAAAAAATCCAATTAAAAGTTATATTAATATAACTAGCTGTCCCTCGCGATTTCATCCGCGTGGAATTTACTACGGTTTCATGGGTTTTAATTTTTTTCTAAAATAAAAGTATCCTAAGTTACTCCTTATAGCATCAGTCTGCCAGTGAAAGTCCCATCAAAATCGGTCCAGCCGTTTCGGAGATTAGCCGGAACAAACAGACAGACAAAGTTTTTAAAAATTGTTTTTGTTATTAGTACCCTATATACTTTCACATGCATTTAGTAAAAAGCTGTTACTTTAACATTACAAACAGACACTTCTATTTTATTTATTTGTATAGATTAAACTATATATTAATACTAGCTGTTCCCCGCGACTTCGCCCGCGTGTAATTTAGGGTTTTAATTATGTTGCGCGGAACCCTAATTCTTTTTCTAAAATATAAGTAGCCTAAGATACTCCTTATAACATCAGCTATCTGCCAGTGAAAGTTCCGTCGAAATCGGTCCAGCCGTTTCGGAGATTAGCCGGAACAAACAGACAGACAGACAGACAAAAATTTTAAAAATTGTGTTTTTGTTATAAGTACCGTATATATTTTTATATTAATTTGGTAAAAAGCTGTTATTTTGATATTAAGTTAAGTTACGTTAAGTTGCTATTTTACGCTGGCTTTCTGTGAGAGCGTGGTCCTTCCACGGTCGAGCTGACCCATTCGTGCTACAACTAAAATATAGATTCAGCATGCCTCTACCACAAGATAATCAAAAAATAATAGAAGATACAAAAATATACAAATAGATGGCCGATAGAATTGGGATTTACATGGGCGACGAATACAAGTTTATTGCTCGCTTGAGAAGATGGGGACTTAACATAAAAATGCAAAGTTATTAAATATAAAGGCTTATTATCAATGAGTAAATTTATTAAGACAATGATTAAAAAGGTGGAGAGCTGAAAATTTACATCACTAAAAATTATGGACAGTGTATATATGGGTACTTGGTGTATTTGCGTACACAGGTGGGCGTCCCACTCATGTATCTATACTAATCTATACTAATATAATAAAGCGGAAGAGTTTTTTTGTTTGTTTAAACGCGCTAATCTCTGGAACTACCAGTCCGATTTGAAAAATTCTTTTTGTATATTATAGCCAGATTCATGTGGAATAGTATAGGCTGTCTAGCATTAAGCTATATACCTCAGCTAGCCCTAAATATGGATATATGTTAAGCAAGTCAGAAGAAAAAGCACTCCCGAAATTATTTATCCGCGTACGCTGGTGTTATCGTTAGGGATACGTAAATACAATGTTTTAGAAAAATATAGATCTTTACTCCGTCTAAAAAAAAGTACTGGATACCATATGTCTATTTCTTATACATAAGCCATAATTAGGTATTTTGTGACAAAAAAATATTGAAAATTTAAAAGTGATTTATGAGCGTTATTATTAGGCATGGCTTATTTATCCTTACGAACGAAAGTTACTTCATCATCAAGACAATTTTATGAAGATAAACTTTGTTCTGTATATCATGTTATTTGGACGCATAGTTTAAGAGATAATGTAAAATTAAAATAATTCAATACTTGCCTGGGCGCGCGAACTACGCATAAACACTAGCCGGCCGGTGAGAACTGCGAGAAGCCAGTATAGAAAGCTGCTAAGAGCGAGGTTAGTTCAATAATTATAGCTAACATAAATTGAAAATTAATTGAGTACTTTTATGACAATTATTAGTTACATCTTTATTTCTGAACTCTTTAATTTCACGTTGCTATGGTATTTTGAAAATTTAACTGATTAATAACTATAAGAGTTTGATAGCTCAAGAATCCGCTCAAAAACATAACTGCTCGGGGCAAACTGAGCAAGAACACCAAGGCGACCCCTGCCACGCTATCCGTGAATTTCTGCAACATCAGGGGACTTCACTCTAACCTAAACGCCGTCCACTACCATCTCGAGACGGCAAAGCAGGTTTCCTCTCCGGCTGATATTTCGTATCTCTCCTACCCGGGGTACAAATTAGAGCATTTCTTTGTGCCTCGGGCTGGAGTTTGCGTGTATGTCAGAGAGGACATCTGTTCTCGACGCCTCGGCAGTCTTGAAGGTTCGGACCTGTCCATCCTTTGGCTACGCGTAGACAGCGACGACCATCCGCGCGTCTACGGGTGCCTCTATAGGTCCCATAGCAGTAATGCCGAAACAGACCGACTCATCGACTACGTCCAAATGGCTACAGATTCCTTGCTACAACAGGTCCCATCCGCGGAGATCGTGATCCTTGGCGATTTTAACGCCCACCATGCCCAATGGCTCGGTTCACGTTTAACCGATCATGCGGGGAGATCTGTTTATGATTTTGTCTTGGCATATGGTCTGACACAACTGGTTACTTCGCCTACGCGGATTCCAGATGTGGAGGATCATACACCTTCCCTGTTGGACCTTCTGCTGACCTCTCATCCGGACGGATATCAGGTTTCCGTCGATGCCCCTCTCGGCTCTTCGGACCATTGTCTGCTCCGGAGTATGGTGCCACTCACGCTCCCTTCGCGGTTGCGTTCTGCAGGTTGCCGCTGTATTTGGCATTACAGGTCGGCGGATTGGGACGGAATGCGATCTTTCTTTGTATCCTACCCATGGGGGCGGGTTTGCTTCTCGCCGGATGATCCCAGCGCTGTTGCTGACTCTATCACTGATGTGGTGCTACAGGGAATGGAACTATTTATTCCATCATCTGTGGTACCCATCGGAGGCAGATCTCAGCCTTGGTTTGGTCGCTCCTGTAAGACTGCATTACGCAGTAAGCAGGAGT